ACATTTTGCTTGTCTCTCCACCCCCCTGAACCTGGAGCTAGACAACATACACTAGCAACTACCCCCTCGTGCGCTCTGTCCTGTGGCTGGCCAGCCCCCTGCAGCGCTTGCAGGCATCTCTCCTTTCCTTAACTAGCCTCAATGATTTAGCAAGTGTTCCAAACAAGACAAACCAAAGGGGTAACACAGTGGGGATGCACTGTCCCCCATGTACCCTCAGGGTGGGTGGCAGCAGGATGAGGCTGAGCTTGGGGCTGGATCATCTCTGTTAATAAGGAAATTGGAGAATTATCAGTAACTTTTTATTGGAGGGAAGAATGTGGCCCCCTAAATGTGCTCCCAGCAGCAGGGTCCACTCCTTCTTTCTACCCTCCTCCCCTAGCTTATGCTCCTCCCTCTCTCCTGGGGCTTTTGAACTACAGAGGGCTCCATGTAAACGGTCTGGTGCTGAGTTCCATGCTGCAGCTCCTGGGCCCAATTTCAAAGATGCGTTTTTTTTGGAAAAACTTCATTTACATCCACACTGCAATTGCATTCTTCTGAAGAAAATCAAAAGAGCAGAGGGTGTTTTTCCGACATTGGCAATCCTCATTCTACAAGGAAGAAGCCTTTTTCGGAAAAAGGCGTGTGCGGACGGGGAAAAGGGCGTTCTTTCGAAAGAAGAGGAAAGAGGAAAAAGCACAGGTGCCGTAGTGGCCACTCTGTCCATACTAATCACAGCTGAAATGCGAGAGCATGTCGATTCCATGTGGACGCTATCTTTCGAAAAAGCAGATCGCTTTTTCGATGTGCTTTTGCAATGTGGACACTCGCTTTTGGAAGAAGTTTTCCAGAAGATCTCTTCCAGAAAAGCTTATTCTGAAAGAAGCCTGCACATCTGGTCATAGCCCAGGTGGCAGGGGAACAGGCCACTCTCTTGCGTAAGGAGGGGCTGAGGTGTGTGTCCTGGGCCCTCCCTTTCCACCGGGTCCCAGACAAGACCTTGCTGGAAGAGGAGGTTGTCATCATTCAGTCAGCAAGGAATCCCACCGCAACACACTGAGGCAGAAAAGCTTATTCTGAAAGAAGCCTGCACATCTGGTCATAGCCCAGGTGGCAGGGGAACAGGCCACTCTCTTGCGTAAGGAGGGGCTGAGGTGTGTGTCCTGGGCCCTCCCTTTCCACCGGGTCCCAGACAAGACCTTGCTGGAAGAGGAGGTTGTCATCATTCAGTCAGCAAGGAATCCCACCGCAACACACTGAGGGTATGTCTACACTACCCTCCTAG